AGGTTTTCTGAATTTTTCAACACTCAATTCTTGATTTATCATTTGTCACATAAAAATGAACTCTCTAACAAAATACATGAATATGACTTCACTACATAATTTTCAATCATTGTGTTATACTGTTCAAATCCTTCAGAAATATCGTGATAGGTACACAACAACAATACAATAATAATATATTAATATAATCTCATAAATGAGATCCGAGCAAAGTGATATATACACAAACATTATCTTAAGATAGAGAGACTGTATATGATATACCCGAAATGTAATAATAGAGTGACCATTTGGACAATGAACTTAATCTAAAATGGTAGGGTAAAATTCTGACTTTTTGGCTTATTGTTATGTCTACTTCATATATTGATTATTTGTTTGCTTATATATACATGTGTAAATAGGACAAGTAGATAAAAGTAACCATTCATGATGACCTGATTTGCAGATAACTCACAAGAGGCTGTAAATGTCTCTGTTCACTAATTTTTTTTTTTTGTCTGTTGGAGAAAACAAATTGATTTGTGTATATATATATCTTGATGAACTTTCGTTTTTGGTGTCAGTTTTGTCTGTGTTTTTTGCATGAATATCACATTGTCATGCATCTAAGATTTCACCGTTGTACTTCTAGTATTTATTCTTTATTGTCTGCATTATTTTTTTCGCGTGATAGCTCGTTGTTTTTGATTTCGGGCTATGAATTCGACTTACTTGCTAGTGGATGTTTGTACGTGTCATCATGATTTAAGATTTTGGACTGTGATAGATTGGTATAAGAGCTCTAGATTCACTGATATTGTTGGTATGGGAGCAAGTGCCTAGTAGAAATTTCATGTACATTTGCTTCGATCTAAAGTCCTTCTTTGAACCCACTCTTTCTTACATGGATAGCACAAAGTATTCGGTGAACGTAGATGGGAAATCGAAGCCAAAATTTATGGACTATAGCACACGTAAAATGGAAAATTTGATATTTCTCGATTCGGACCTCAATTGAACTTGAAAATGCGGACATTTACCCCTCCAAACCAACGCGCGTCATTAATAAGGTGTTCATATAGGCCCACAAAAATTTTTGGTCAAAAACCTGTCGGGATTACATATCACCCAAAATTCATGGATTATAGCACACATAAAATAGAGAATTCGGTATTTTCCATTTTGGGCCTTGTTTGAACTTGAAAATGCGGACATTTGCCCCTTCGGACTAATGCACGCCATTAATAAAGTCTTCACGGACGCCCACAAAAAATTTCGGCCAAAAATTATCGGGATCACATATCACCCAAAAATCATAGACTGTAGCACACATAAAATACATAATTCGGTATTTCCCATTACGAGTCTCATTTGAACTTGAAAATCTGAATGTTTTCCCATCTAGACCAATGCATGCCATTAATAAGGTCTTCATGTACGCCTACAAAAATTTCGGCCAAAAACCCGTGGGATCACATATCACCCAAAATTCATGAACTATAGCACACGTAAAATGGAGAATTTGGTATTTTTCATTCCGAGCCTCGTTTGAATTTTTGGAAATGTGGACGTTTTCCTCTCTAGACCAACGCACACCATTAATAAGATCTCCCCGGACACCCAAAAAAAACTTGGTCAAAAGCCCATCGGGATCACATATCACCTAAAATACATGGACAATAGCACACGTAAAATTTAGAATTCGGTATTTCCTATTCTGGGCCTCGTTTGAACTTGAAAATGGAACGTTGTCCCCTCTGAACCAATGCACGCCATTAAAAAGGTCTTCACAGATGCCTACAAAAATTCTCAGCAGAGAACCCATTGGGATCACATATCACCCAAAATTTATGGACTAGAGCACACGTAAAATGGAGAATTTGATATTTTCCGTTCTGGGCCTCGTTTGAACTTGAAAATGCAGACATTTTCTCTTTCGGACAAACGCACGCCATTAATAAGGTCTGCACGGACGCCTATAAAAAGTTTCGGCAAAAAACCCGTCGAGATCACATATCACTCAAAATTCATAGACTATAGCGCACGTGAAATGAAAAGTTAAGTATTTCCCGTTTCGGGCCTTGTTTGAACTTGAAAATATGGACGTTTGCCCCTCTGGACCAACGCACGCCATTAATAAGGTATTCACGAATGCCCACAAAAAATTCGGCTAAAAACACATCGGGATCACATATCACCCAAAATCTGTGGACTATAGCACACGTAAAATGAAGAATTCGGTATATTCCATTCCGGGCTTCGTTTGAACTTGAAAATGCAAATGTTTGTCCCTCCAAACGAATGCACGCCATTAATAAAGTCTTCATGTACGCCCACAAAAAATTTCGATCAAAAACCTGTCGGGATCACATATCACCCAAAATTCATGGACTATTATAGCACACGTAAAATGGAAAAATTGGTATTTCCTGTTTTGGTCCTCGTTTAAATTTTAAAATACAACCGTTTTCCCCTCCTGACCAATATACGCCTTTAATAAGGTCGTCACGGACGCCCACAAAGTTTTTTGGCCAAAAACCGTCGGGATCACATATCACCCAAAATTCATAGATTATAACACATGTAAAATAGAAAAAAAAAAATTTCCATTCTGGGTCTCGTTTGAACTTGAAAATGCCGACGTTTGGTGAACAAATGTTGATATTTTCTAGTTCAAACGAGGCCCGCAACGGAAAATTGATTTTTCCATTTTTGGTACGTTATCCTCCTTTAAAACACCCAAAAATGACTTTCAATAGAGGTAACAAACTAGGGAAATGACTAAAATAACTGTAGAACACGTGCATCAAGTTTTCGAAAAAAAAATTGCAGCAAGCATTCACAAAAGGCTCCACGGTCCGTAGAACATTCCACTGTCGTGTAACAGTTACTGCCTTATAGAGTTTCATTGAAACGGACATAGCTTTTTACTCTAAACTTTAATTAACACAAATTTGGTGGCGTTGAAAAGAAGACTCATAGACCTTTCATTTGAGTGGTTATGGCCATCTAATTCCTCATATTCAAAGAGATATGATTGCTTGGAGTTTATCTAAGTAGAATTTTATATCAAAAACAATTGTTAGGAAACATTCAACTCATCTTCAAATTTGTTTTTACAAGTTTTCGGGGTGTTACATCCATGATCCACATCATTTTCAAAACACTTAGTAGCTACTCAAAAGGAATAATGCGATTTTGTTCCAATTTTCCGTGTGTTTTGTGTTTTATATTTTATGTACATTAGCAAGATTATTAATAGTAATAGTCACCAAATAATAGGGACTTTTAGGGATGAACATTAGAAATTTTGGTGACCAATAATATTAGTTTTAGCAGCGCTTATAGTCGCCGCTAATAAAAACTTTTAGCCAAAACATTTATAGGTTTTAGCGGCAATTATAGTCGCCACTAAAGAGCCTTTTAGCGACAACTTTTAATAGTTTTAGCGGCGGTTATAGTCGCCACTAAAACTGACTTTTCGCAACAACTTTATAAGTTTTTTTGGCGATAAATACTTATAGCCACAAAATTTATAGGGTTTAGCCGCGGTAGTAGTTTCCACCAAAGAACCTTTTAGCGACAACTTTTAAAAGTTTTAGCGGCGGTAATAGTCGCCACTAAAATTGACTTTTCGCAACAACTTATAAGTTTTAGCTTTAGTCGCCACTAATAAATACTTTTAGCCACAAAATTTATAGATTTTAGCGGCGATCATAGTCGCTACGAAAGAGTCTTTTATCGACAACTTGTAAAAGTTTTAGCGGCGATTTTAGTCGCCACCAAAGAACCTTTTAGTGACAACTTTTATAAGTTTTAGCAGCGATTATAGTCGCCACTAAAACTGACTTTTCCCAACAACTTTATATGTTTTATGAGGACCTTCGTAATAAGTTGAGGGAACATTACGTATATTCCCACCATTTTCTTAATGCATATTTTTTCATTGGGCCAATATTTAGGGTTTACGCGTTTTTCTTGATTTTTCATGTGTATTAACCCACGGTTGTAATGCTCATGGGCCAATGAAGATTTTTCTAAAAAACCTTATGAGAATCTCAGTAATGAGTTGAGGGAGCATTACATATAGTCCCACCAATTTTTAAGGCATATTTTTGCATTTAGGACAAACTTTTAGAAATTACGCAACTTTCTTGATTTTCGTGTGTATTAGCCCATGGATATTGATGTCTTCTGGCGCCCAAAAGGTTTTCTGAAAAAACTTTGTAAGGACCTTTGTAATGAGTTGGGGGAGCATTACGCATAGTCCCAGCATTTTTGAAGGCATATTTTTCATATAGGGGCCAACTTTTATGAAATACTTAATTTTCTTGGTTTTTCGGGTGCATTAGCCCATGAATGTTGGCGTTCGAAAGGTTTTTCTGAAAGAACTTTATGAGGACCTCCGGAATAAGTTGAAGGAGCATTATGTATAGTACCACCATTTTTAAGGCATATTTTTGCATATAGAGGCCAACTTTTAGAAACTACAAAACTTTGTTGATTTTTCGTGTATATTAGCCATGGAAATTGGCGCCTTATAGCACCCGAAAGTTTTTTCTGAAAAAACTTTATGATGAGGGATGTTGATGGTCAATCAAAACCACATCTCTACCCAATAAAAGTAAAGATAAGATTGTGTATATTTTAACCTTTCTAAACCCCCTCCTTTAAGATTATACTGAAATTTATTGTTATAGTATATTATACTAGTCTCTCAAAGAATACAATCATATCTTTTGCCTAATAAGCAAAATAGACACAATTTAAAATTATACCCAAACAGGTTGAGAGAATTTCATAGAATGCTACGTAATTTTATGAGTGGGATCTGAGGAGGTTGGTGTGTACGCAGATCTTACACCTATCTTGTGAAGTGAAAGGTGATGTTTCTTGTCAGCTCAAGAAGAGCATTTTAAAGCAAGTATGAAAAGGGAATACAGTAGTGAACAAGTCATTATGAAAACAATGTTAAAAAAAAGAAAGTAACAACAACAAATAAATAATAACACAAGAAATTAGGGAACAACAATTAAGCTACTATAGTATATATAATTAAATTGATACATAGTAGTAATATTTTCCTTTTGGATTTTTTCTTTCAACTATGGTTTATTAGTGTTTTTGTTGTTATTTTTGTTGATAATCCCTTCTTCAGTCTGAGTTGAAGGCTTGTAATATCCAGTGACAGGGTCTGGTACCCATGATGACTCTGAAGAAACAGAATTTGCCCTCTCATCTTTCACTAATTTTTGTTGATGATCCTTTTTTGCCGACCCTTCTTCTGCTTGTGTTGCACAATACCCTCTCCTACAATAATAACAACATATTCAGTATAATCTCACGAGTAAGGTCTGAGAACAGACTTTACCCCTACCTTCGTAAGATAGAGAATTTTTTTTTTACAAACACATGTTTTGTTTCAAATTCATAACAAAATAATGAATTGGTACAAAAAGATCAACTCACCTTGTTACTAGATTCAAGGGAAAGCTACCATCAACAAGACAATAAGAAGACTTGAATTTGGAGATGATTCTTGTCATATTGCCAGCCATTTTGAGTCTAAAAGAGAACTCCAAAGACTTGAAAATAATATTACAAAGTCTTTGGTGAATGAATTTACCGAGTTTAGAGACACAAACCAAAGTTGCATTTTATTGTATTATATAAGAAATGGATAGTCAAAAAGTGGAACAATTTGGTAGGCCACTTGTATAATTGAATCTACTTGGTCATTATGACTTTAGTACCTAGAAACTTCCCTTCAATATGAAGAACCACCCACGTTGCATCATCCTATTATATAAAAAGAAGTTTCCAAGAGGAAGACGTCATATATACAGTGATAATGTAAAGTATATTCATATAATCAAGTCAAATATAAAATAGTCACATATAGGTTTCTATGACAAGCACTAGTTAATTATGTAAAGAAAATGATAATTGACATGATATCACAAGTTAAATTCACAGAGAACAAAACAAAAAATATTATCCGTGTATATAACTTAAACTTTGTGTGAATAGATGGTGGCCTCTAGGTACGAGAAAGGCTACCTCTTTTGGCCTTTCATGTAGTCACGACCTACTTGTGTCAAATGGATCTTTATTTTTATTTTTTTAAACAATAACTTATGTACCCCACATATAATCACAAAAGTTGTATATATATATACAAATAAACAAAATAAAGTGCCATAAAATGCAAAGATCACACAATTCTACATGATTTATCAGAGCAGATAAAAATTCTAAATGCAAATCTCACCATATGAATCGAGTCCCACATGAAATGTAAATAAAAGTTTATGATAGTTTAAACTTTTAGATAAAAACGTGCCGCAACCTCGATGTTTATGATGAAACTCATACGAATAATATCCACCCTTAACAACTAATGAATTACAAGGTACAACCACTAGAACAAAGAGGAAAATAAGAGAAAACAGAGAGAAGTCGTAAATAAGAAAAAGGAAACATTGCAAATTACAAAAGTATTCGAAATTTCAGATAATCTTTTATAGTTCCTAACAATTGTATGCCTTTCCACATCTAAATGTCAAAATCGTGTTTGTGTGTAGTTCACTCAGATTGGGCAAGGTGGAACATCAAGGGTGATACCAGCTTGGATTTGGCCCCAACCGATGAGACGCCAGTGCTTCTCGATTCTCCTGCTAAGAGCAATTTTCTCACCTTTGCTGGTACACACAGGTGATGTCAATTGCAGTTTTGCAAAGACATTCTTAACAGCAACAACACGAGCCCCAGTTGACATAGATCCTATATTTAACATGAGAATCTCTCCCTTGGCCAACTTTGAGACTTTACCCTGCCTTTCCGTGTCCTTTGTCCTCACTCCCAGAAGACGGCGGAGCAAGAAGAAATTTACCTGCATTACAAAGTGATGTGATTTGGAAGAAGAATAGCAATGTTCCTTTTGTTCTAAAAGAGTCTGAAACTGATGTCTAAGTGATTTACCTCCAGTTCGACAAACACTTCAGGAAGTGAGCCAACCTCCCCAAGAACCTGTCCGACCAATCGATCAGCACGAGTCAATGTTGGATCCATAGTTGTTCCAACTCCAATGAGGCCTCCGGGCACAGCAAATTGTAGCTCATTTTGCTCAGCAAACAATGACACTATTCTTGAATATATAGGGGTACACTTAATGTTGCCACTCTCATCCTTGACAGTAATACCGGGACGAACCTCAATGAGTTGATTTACCTTCAGGACGCCCTGCAGAAAAACATTTACTTGCTCATTGACTTGGTCCATCTTTCAATCAGATTTTCATTCTCTATGTAACGGTTAGCATAAGCATTAGGTATAACGAAAGGACATCTGTCGCATTAGAAATTGGTGCCCTTGGTCAATCAAGGAAACCGTGAAGGAAAAGAAGGTTTGAGTTGTAGCCTTTGTTTGCTTTGCGGAATATAAGGGCATACCTTCAGTATACTGCCACCAGCGACACCGCCTCTGATATCATCAACTTCAAAACCAGGTTTATTAACATCAAATGATCGGATGACTATCATATTTGGTGGTGAAATGAAATTCCTCTCAGGAATGGGAATTTTCTTCACTATATATTCAGCAACAACATCGATGTTGTACTTCAATTGCGCAGAGATTGGTACAACTGGGGCTCCATCAGCAACAGTTCCCTGAACAAGGTATTGAAATAAGGTTATAAAGATACAGCCTTAAGATAAGCATTGACACAGTAAAGGGGTAAACCAATTACACTGACCTGAATAAATTTCTGAATTGCCTCATGCTGGTTAATGGCAACATTTTCCTGAACTAGATCAACCTTATTTTGGAGAATTATTATGTGTTGGAGACGCATAATTTCTACAGCAGCTAAATGTTCAGAAGTCTGAGGTTGGGGACAGCTCTCATTAGCAGCAATTAGAAGTAATGCTCCATCCATAATTGCAGCTCCATTAAGCATAGTAGCCATGAGAATATCATGACCCTGCAGTAAATTTCACAATACAAAAGCATTCTATATCAGGAAATTAAATGTCTTGCTGATGGCGAAAAATCAGACAATGAACCTAGGTGCTTCGCAAAAGACTACATGTAGGGGAAGTGTTTACAGATTGACACATTGCAAAAGAATAGTGCAGAGACTCACAAAAGAATATAATTGGATAACGTATATTCTATCTTCTTAAGTTTTAACAAAGGTAAAGGATCAAAAAGAATCCTACAGATCAGACCAACAGACAAAAGTTCCTATAAATGACAGGAAGGCGTGTCAGACCATCAGCGTGTCGAGATCATTTTGACTACTGTCAATATGTAACCATATGTGTTCGACTTTGTTATGATAACCTTAAAAGTATTCTTTCCCCTTGCAGTCTAAAAAGGGGTATATCAGGTATTTGTAGCATATACCGTAAGGGTCCCAAACCTGTTAAAAGGGAGCAGTAATGCAGCCAATGACAGTTCTAAAACAAAGATCTCTTTCCCCTTATATACTCTAGAAAAGGGGCAAGCCGAGTTTTGGGGCCTCTGCTGTATCGTGTAAGGGTTCCGTACCTTCCAAAAGTGAGCTGCAATGCAGTGGATGGAAGTTTACAAGACAAAAGAACCTCACTTAGTATTGAAAAGTATCTACTAATACAAAAACCTACAGAAAAGAATCTCTCCATAGAATGAGGTTAAGAGAATCTCTCCATAGAATGAGGTTAAAAGAATCTCTCCACATAAAGTAACCTACTGCATGCTCACGGGCTTAAATATCCAAAACCTGAGATCATAAAAACAACATCTACAGATTCTCATGGCGGTAACAGATGCAGCTATGAGATTTACCAACTTTTCTTTAGATAGAGACCAACATAGCTGAACTTGCTTCTTCCTAGAGAAGGCATGACAGTTAAGAAGACAGCAAAAACAGGAGGCAGAAACTTTTTCCATTTTTTTATATAACCGAGAAAACATCGAGGACCAGTGGTGCACAGTTTACAACTCGGTGGATAATAGGCCAACCCCTCTACCCTATTCAATTATATACTAGCGATGTGCGCCTAGCCCACACGTCGTGCAATGCACTCTTACCGATAGACTAGAACCCTAGGGGAAACTAGAAACCGAAAACTAAGGAAAACAAAAACTCCTAGTCTTTCATCAAATCCAAGAGACTGCTAATTGGAACCACGAGTAGCATGAACATTAAATGTGTTAACAGAACATAAAGAACATTATCAAAAGAAAAAGAAGAGAAATGACCCATTTAAAGATTATCTTGATACCATCATGTTGGTGTATTTCCTGAATTATGACAGCTTAAGATTTTCATTAGAGTATCCATATTTGCACAAGATCAAACAACAAAGAACTATCATCTTCTGTCGCATCCCAATACTCAAGTAAAATGGCAGTAACATATACTGTAAATGGTAGGTGAGAAGCTTACGGGGCAATCAACGAAAGATACATGTCTCAGCAATTTCATCCTACAGGTCTCGAAACCGGGGACATCACACATGGGACCGTCTTCTTTTCCACTTCCATATGCCCTGAAAAGGATACACCGTTACAGCATAAAAGTGACACAAATGAGCAAAGAACAGTTCCATTCAAATTCAAGTACTTACTTGTAGCACATGGGTCTAGGGCAGCGGTCTTCTTCACATTTATATATCTTAGCATTAGCATATCCAAGCTTAATTGTGATGTTTCTTTCTAGCTCATTTTTAAAACGAACAGTCTGCATAAATAAGGCAAGACAGATAATTAGTTACTTTCTAGAGGACAATAGAATCTTAGGTTGCCCAAATCAGCATGTGCTTAGCTTTCAAAAATTTTGTAGCATGAATTCGTTATGACAAATGCAGTAAGATCAAAGTAGGTAGATAATCAGACAAACTATCTTGGTGGTCAATTTATCAAGGCAATCAATTCATAATAAGCTAAAAATACATGCAAATCATTAATGATCTCAACAGCTGATAACTCCAGATAACTTCCCCATAATAATGAGGTTACATCTCACGCCATAATATATGCCGCATAGAGTAACAATATTCAATCATAACTCAAAAAAGAGGAAAAACCTTGAAATACTTGGTTATTCTTATAACCAACCTCCAAATACTTTTAGGAAGAATGTGCAAACACGCAAATGTTAGTTACTCTGCACCATAGAGTAACTAAAAAAGAGGAAAAGCCTTGAAATACTTAGTTATTCTTATATGTTATAAGTTATAACCAACCTCAAAATACTTTTAGCAAGAATGTGCAGCAAACAAATAGTAGTAAACTGGGCTTAGACATTTAATACATGCTCAAATGGTTTATCCATGAATTCAAAAGTAATATAAGGCTATGTATTTACAGTTACAATGATCAATATACTGGTTTTATTTTTTTGACAAGAAAAGATCAATGTATTATTTGTTTTATAACTAAAAGAAAACTGATAAAAACAAAGACATACTTAAATGAAGGTTCAGATTCCAGAACAAATGCGTACCTGCACTCCAGATATAGCTTTTACAACTGTTGACTTCCCATGAGCCACATGCCCAATGGTACCTGGATAATGAACCTAAATTCAGTCTGATGCCAGTAACGTATAAAAGAGTTTCTCAAAGAATACAAAGAAACCAAAATGCAGTGCACATATAGAATAATAGAAATACATGTTCATTAGTGAGCAGTTTACCAATATTTATTGTAGCCTGACGAGAAATAACCTCTGGTGAAAGTGGATGCAACTTTGTTACATCCAACTTACTCAGGTCCTGCTCCATCAATCCTTTCCGAGACATTTTTAGCTGTTCTTTGATACTTCTTCAGATGTCGGTAATTTTCAAGTCTGAAACTGGAAATAAATCAAGAAATAATGCTCAAAACAGTGACTTCAGACAGACAGTTGAGCTATGTCTCAAGGCATAGAGATTTACAGACAATAGTTTAATCACTAAAATTTTAACTTATTTTTATCAGATAAACAATTTCATTAATTACAAGGCCATAATCAGCCTTATACAAGAAGTATACCAAAAAGTAAAGAACCTACAAAAAGATATGGTTCTCTACAAAAGATATTGAATTCTCTATGCAGCCCGGAACTACATGGGTATACCAAAAATAAATAAGGGATCGGAGATTACTCCTCAACTGCCCAAAACTCAATTCTACCCCTTAGAAAGCCCTCCTGTTTCTCGCTAAAATTTTAAATTAGACTGAACTATTAGACACCTCGTTATTGTTTTGTCCTTTTCTCTTGGGATCTTATTTTTGCTCGAAAGAATTGCTTCTTTATTTATTATCAAAAGGTGGAACAGAAATAGAGGCTAGTAAGTACAATTTGCAAAGTCTAACTAAAACATTTCAAAGCAAGACGGAACAGAAAGTATTTGACATTACAATAGTGTGCACTTATACCTTTCAAAATACAATGTAACAATAATATCCTCCTCATCCTCTACAGAAAAGTAACTAAAACATTTCAAAAGAAGCATTAAAGGATAAAAGTAGAAGAAGAAGCAGCAGAAGGAGGAGGAGCACATCCTCCCCTCCTCTTAAGTATGGATGATGATGCATCTTTTTGTGCGACCTCCTCCTCCTCCCTAATAACTCACCCATCGTTTGTTCGTGTAAGGATAAGTATGAGATACATAGAACCGTAATTTGCCTTATGAGATAAATTATTTAGTAAGAACATTAGAGAGCCCATAATTTGCTTATAAGGTAAGTTATTTAGGATGAAAATGAAATGGACCCGATAAAATGGGACGGATACAGAGGATTCATATACCCGATAACAAATATCCATTACATCAGCCAATAAAATACTCCATATGTCTCAATTAATGTCGCATAGTTGAAATTTCGAGGTCAAGCCAAGTGTTTCTTTGACCGCATTTCTTTATATGCCTTTAAAATATTTTTAATTTGTTAATTATTGTTAATTTTAGTACTTTATGCATAGTTTTCAGATATACAAAATTTTATTTCAAAAAACTTAAAAGTTTCTATGTCCAAATTGACGATCAAAGTTTAAAAGTGTTTGAATCTCGAAATTCCAACTGTGACACTAAAATTGAGACAGAAGAAATGCTATGAATAAAACACAATAGAATTTAAGGCATAGCTGATTAATAAGTCATCCGCAAGAGCTTCTTTCCTTACACAACGCAATCTCATAGATGCTGCAACTACTTCCCAAATTGCAAGCCAAAAACAAAGCACTCACAAATAATATTTATATTACATTATTTGTTTTTTGGAGGCATCAGCTTTTACATCAGTCCTAAAACCCTAATTCCTAAAACTCAAATCACCAGATATATTAGCTCCGACAGAGTCAAACTTATCACGATTCATAACTTATATAAGAACAAAACTATATGTAGATTAAAAATATATATTCAGATAAATTTAACAAATGCACAACTAAAAAAACCATTAAAAATTGAAGGTTTTATACTATGAGCAAAATATGACAAAGAGATACAAATGTAAATCATTATGGAGGTGGTCTACGGTGGCAAAGGGGAAGAGGACTCACCGGAGAAGAGTGAAACGGCGGCGTCGCAGCTGCACTCGAGAGAGAAAGTAAAACGAAGAATGAGAAAGATTTTGGCTTAGTGGGGTAGAAGATGATATATTTACGTTCGAAACCCATACTTATATTTAAACTATATCAAGAGCCCTCCTTTTTTTGTTTTTGTTGTTTTAGTACTAGGGGTGTCAAAAAAGAAAAAATTGAAAAATCGAATCGAAAATCAAACTAAATCGATAAAAGAATCGACAAGCATTTTTGAGTTGGTTTAATATATATATATATATATATATATATATATATAAATCGATAAAAGAATCGACAAGTATTTTTGAGTTGGTTTAATATATATATATATATATATATATATATATATATATAAAAGATCTTATATTAATTTTTATGAATTCAGAAGAATGAACTAGTATATTTTTTTATTTTTTTATTTTTTTTATAATCGAGAAATCCGTATGTGACCCGCCCTTTGGACCAATCACAGACTTCTAAACTCAGTGGATAATGGGTCCCCCCCTCTACCCTTCTCCACTTAAATACAGGGCTTCACTTTGCATGGTGTGAGGCTTGAACCTGCGACCTAAGCCACAAATCCTCCACCTTTTGTCACTTGAGCTAGACCTTGGGGGGCAAACTAGTATATATTACTATGTGTCCTCTCATCTCAAGTACGTTTCAATCACAAATTCCCAACACTATTTATCGACTAAACAAATTATCACCGATCATATTTCTCTATTCAAACACCATTTGAAAAAATAAAGATAAGTAAAAAATGCTAGTAGTACTTTTATAGATTCGTGTAGCATTAAACTCATTAAAAGAAGAAGCATTTCCTAATTGAATTTTTTCCATTTTGATAACTTGAATTCGAGACTTCAAATAAAATATTAATAAATTTTATTGATCTCACCACACCGCCGTAATCCATGTATCATTACTTTACTAATATAAGCTAGAAAATTTTCAAATATTTTATTTTCTAGCTATAGAAAAGAAGGTATAAAAGATATATTTCGAGAATATTAGAAATTTGGAGGCAAAATAATTACACTTGGAATAGCTTAAATTGCTAAAAAGCAAAGTGAAGAAGGCCACTAGTCTTCAAAATTCATGCAAATCCCTCCACTTTTTTTTCTTCTTATGGACCCCAAAATTCTTAATTAGATCTCACCCAAAAAGAAAAAAAAATATAGAACAAGAAAAAACCTAACATTAATTTTTTAAAATTTTCATCATGAGATCTGATGATAATCATGAGGTGATTCATAAAAATTATATTAAAAAACACAGCATGATGAAGAGATTTTCATTTAGAAATTCAATTCTATATGTGCTTGAAAAACAAAGATTTATGTGTCTTTTGATTGGAATTGCTACGTCAATTGTCATTTGCTCTGTAGTTTCTATTTCTTCTCCAATATTAAAATCCGATTTCGAAACGATTAATATTCAAGATACATTTATATTGAGTAATCCGATCCCTCGAAGAATTGCGTATGAGTTGGTTGATGAAACCGACCACGCTAATGCAGGTATCTTTACAATTGTGTCATGTTGACGTAGATTCACCTTCTTTAATGTCATCAAGTACCTTCTCTACAATTAGCGACAATGAATTGGCATTGCATCTATCCTAATAATTTTTTAGCATTTTCTATCCCATTTGAAAAATTATGAGTTCGGTTGAACCTGTATTCTATCTGACTCTACTAGTAGGTACAAACATATGAGATTCAAGGGAATCTCTAGTTTAAAAAAAGACAAGTTCTCAAGTAATATTGGACTAAAACCAACTCAAATAATATGAAACACATAAAAATATAAATTACCGATCTTAACTTTATTATTTCAGAATTAAAACGTAGTTAATTGACGAATATACATGACGCAATACGGTATTCGTTGTAAATCAATATTTTCGATAAATTAAAATTTCATATTTCGGAACATCTTGATTGAATTACCTCAAAAAATTGTATGTACATTCTAACTAGACTTGGATGTAACAATGTGTTTTGATACATACAATCATCTTCTCTAACGGCCAAAATTTTCATTGTAACCAAATTTTTATGTTACGTTAACAATAAAAAAATATTCTAACAAAAGACATTACAGAAAGGACTGACCGATTTTTGTTGTTGTTGTAGGTGGAAAGGTTCCTTTGGGATTGAAGGGAAAGACTAAGAGAATATTAGTAACAGGAGGAGCAGGATTTGTTGGGAGCCATTTGGTGGATAGATTAATAGCAAGAGGAGATAGTGTTATTGTTGTTGATAATTTTTTTACAGGTAAAAAAGAGAATTTGTTGCACCATTTCAAGAACCCAAGATTTGAACTTATTCGACACGACGTCGTTGAGCCGATTTTGTTAGAAGTTGATCAAATTTATCATCTAGCTTGCCCTGCTTCTCCTGTTCATTACAAGTTTAATCCAGTCAAGACTATCATATCCTTAATTTCATATTCTTTAAATTAAGTACATAATACCATTGCACCACTATTCTTTTGACAATAGGTGTGAACTACATAAATATATTTTTTTTATCACAAGGTATAGTTCAAATCAAAAATAGTAACGATACATATCACGTTTTTCATATGATCATATTTGTTTTCTTGATTTTTTTTCCTTGACTTTAAAATGGAAAGATATCACAAAACAAATGTGATGGGAACAATGAATATGTTGGGATTAGCAAAAAGAGTGGGAGCTAGATTTCTTATTACTAGCACAAGTGAAGTTTATGGTGATCCATTGCAACATCCTCAAGCTGAGACTTATTGGGGCAATGTTAATCCCATTGGTAAGTCAATTCATTTTACTCTTTCACTTTGATCGCGAGTGTAGATCGTCTGTCTAAATAATTTTATGTTATTGATATCATATTATATAATATGTGATTGTAAATTCCTTGTTATTTGTATTATAAATGAATCTAGACGATCTATTTAAGATTTGGGAATTCTCACTAGTGGTGACCCTTTCACTCTTCAACATAGTGATACAATTATGAAAATTTATACATTTATCTAATAAGTAATGGCGGAACCACATACGACAAAAGGAGTTTACTGAAAATTTATACTATGTAAAGTAGCTTTGATCCAAATTATGTATTTATCTTCAAAATTTCGTTGAACATATCCAAAATAATAATTTAAAGCTTAATAACTTAAAAGATTACTATAATCTTGAACCCATAAGTTACAAATCATTATTCCGCCTCTGACTATGTATATATATATGTGAATTTTATTTGTGTGCATGTCAATTATTAATTGAATCCCCCTATACATAAGAGAACATTGTTCCTTAATCCCCTTGATGAAATTTCTCCCTCGATCCATCACTACTAATACGTGACGTGATTATGTACATATAGTTTTTATATCGTCAGTGCATCGGACTTAAACTCGACTTTTTTTTGGGGAACTTGTGAACAGGTGTCCGCAGTTGTTATGATGAAGGAAAACGTACAGCTGAAACTTTGACCATGGATTACCATAGAGGACTCAACATTGAGGTACATTTTCTTCTTGAAATCTAATTTTAAACCATAGTAAAAAAAAAAAATAAAAAAAAAAAAAAATTGCAAAATAAAAATATATTGATCTCTTGAAGAATTATTTGAACACATTGAGTTGACTTATTTCACGTTAGAATTTCGTTATTGACAAAGGTAAATACGAGACGATTTGCTAACGAAAACTTGTTTTTTAACAGGTTAGAATTGCTAGGATTTTCAACACATATGGACCACGTATGTGCATAGATGATGGTCGTGTTGTTAGCAATTTTGTTGCACAGGTTTGTGTTAAATTAATCATAATTGATTTAATATTAATGTATTTTTTGCATTTAATTGATTAAATATTTACTATACTTTAATTTCATTGAATATTAAAAAAAAAATTGTAGGCTTTAAGAAAGGAGCCAATGACAGTTTATGGAGATGGAAAACAAACCAGGAGCTTTCAATTTGTCTCTGATTTGGTAAATTTTTTATTTTTACTTCACTTATTCAAAAATGGAATATTTATTTATTTATTGAAGGTCTATAAAAAAAAAACAATTGTTATCGTAAATAAATAAACCTTTAATTTGTGTGTGATTGTTGTAATTAATTAATAGGTTGAAGGTTTGATGAGGTTGATGGAAGGAAATCATGTAGGTCCTTTTAATCTTGGGAATCCTGGTGAATTCACCATGCTTGAACTAGCTAAGGTATGTGTCTTTTTTCATTCGATATTCGATAATACGTAATGTAACTCGATCAATTCAAATTTATGTCGAAAAGTCCTATTTTGGAATTAAAACTTTTCCTATTAAAAGTGACTCTATACAAAAGGCATGTCTCAGATTTTGATCGAGGATAAAAGAGTAAACATAAAGAGGGTACTAAGGGGGTTACTGTATCCTTCTAAGCAAATGAAAGAGTGTGGAATTGGCCACCAAAGGGTGTGTGGTTAAGCGGTAAATGTTCTTCAATCATTAATACGAGGGTTAAAATTTGAATTTTGAAAATAAAAATTATCTTTGACAAAGAGCACTAGGATTTTCATAATGAGCTTTATACACCGCAAATTCAAACTAGACAAACCAATTATAAGCCGTAGTGGAGCAATGTATGATGAAATTAAAGGAGAGTCAATTAAATCGCCATACAACATATATAGATAAAAGATTTATATATATAACTTGTTGAATACACTTTATATAAAGGAAACTTTCATTAAAGTGTTACACTTTTTATTCCCGACCCTTGTTAGAATTTTTGGCTCCACTACTATCACTGAGTTTCAAACTCCAAACACTGACTGAATGTAAAACAAAAAGTTCAAGGAATAGGCATGAACAAAAAATAACATATCCCATATAACACTTAACATTCTTTTTTAACGTAACACATTGATTCTACTAATTCTATTTTCTATCATTTCTTAAAACTCGAGACGTGTGATTAATGCTGAATGAATCGTATTCATCTCACTATACTCCTCGATGATTTTTGTAGGTGGTGCAAGAAACAATAGATCCAAATGCAAAAATAGAATTTAGGCCCAACACAGAAGATGATCCACACAAGAGAAAGCCAGATATTACAAAAGCAAAACAGCTTCTAGGATGGGAGCCAGCAGTTTCTCTCCGGCAAGGACTTCCGATGATGGTTGATGACTTCCGGCAACGGATTTTCGGTGACGGCAAACAAGATTCCGGCAACTTATTAACCATATAATAATTATATATAGAAATTAATTTTTTTTTCTCCATGAAAATGGTTAAATGGAGAAAATGAAAATGAATAATAAGAAGAGTAGGAGGTTGTTTAATTAGAGTTTTAATTACTTATATTGAACTTCTTCCAAAAGAAATTAAATAGAATGCAAAGGTGCATTAACTTTTTTTTTTTTGGATATAATGAAAAGTTCGAAAAGATTGTGGTTGAATTCTAATTTCGTACTTGATTAATTTCACGTATAATCAACAAATTTTACATATTATTGTAATGGCATAGTAAGAAGATATATGTTCTCTCATTAAAGCAATTGAACATTACAATATGTTACAATAGTAAACTCGTGAAACTATTTCTTGTCATATTCAAATAACTGAACTATTATGAATCGCTTAAATTATCTGAAAAGTCATTTTTTTGTGTCAAAAAATACAAATGACAAAAAATAAATAAATCTCATAAGAATTTTAACAATTCATAGACAAAAGAAAATTAAGAATTGTTTACATTTCCATTTAGGCTCACAAAGTTTTACTTTTAACATAGTTAACACTCAAAGATGGTGCCAAATCTTTTCTTGATTGGTGGTTTTTTCAACCTAGCGTCTGATACTTATATTGAAGTTCCGATTAATCTGAATTGCAAGAAAATCTTAATGAATATGTAAAACATCTAAAATGCAACATAAATTGAATGAATCATGAAAAATAAAAAAAAAATACTTTAGATGTATTTTTAACCCTCCACTCTAGATATAAAAAGAATCAATGCTATGATAACAAGTAAAACGTTCTCATGCATAAATAGTCAAGACAAACGTTAATCATCATAAAAGAATCATAAACATTAAATATATTAAAGTTATATAACAATAACAACATATCCAATAATCTAAGTCATAGAACAATATTATAGTGATTGTTATCTTTATAAGACATTCAAAGTTAAGATATATTTTCTAAAATTTAAATATTTGATAATCTAATTAATAAAACCTCTCAAAAAGAATTGATACAATCTTACAAAGCCAACATTAAAACATGGTTAATTCAAATTGAAGTGAATTAGAGAAATTAAGAAATAAAAAGTAAGTGTAAATTTAATTGTATACAATTTTTAATTATAACTATATCAATAATAAAATTTCAAAAATATGTGCCTAATAATAATTAGTAAGAGATTAGCAACAAACTATTATTTATTTTTTAATTGAAATACTGCTTCCGTCCCATTTTGACGACTATTTTGAAACAAGTATTTATATTATATCTACAACTAAAAAGGAACGGAGAGAGTAGTAACAATAAATACATCATTTTTTTTATGTTCTACTTATCGTATTTTTGTTTTCATCAGATCTGGTGGTCTCTTTTAGGTATGTATCTCCTTCATCGTTGTTCGTTTAATCTTGCCTCTTATTGGAATTTGTTTCTTTTTTGTGCATCTTCGTAATTGAATTTGGGGGTTTTTGGTAGTGGCTTTAGGGTTGAGCCGCCCATGGGTGAAATATCTGGTGAAGTGTGATTACTGATTTAGGAATTTAGGGTTTTTTGATCCTATATGATGGATATTATCTGAATTTTAAGCTCTTGACATCAAATCCATGATTATAGTTTATCTGTTTGTGAGTAATTTTGTTTTTGGCTTCTAGATTAGCAAGTAATTGCAGCATTACCTTGTAAAGGATTCGTTATAAGAAAAGCTCTAATGAATTACTGATGAATTAATCATATTCTGTTTTACTCGTAGCATTTTTGGTTAATATTTATCATGAACTCCCATGTATTTATCCCATTTTATTTGTGTTTCCTTCATTCTCATACTATATGATATATCTATTGAGGCAAAAGTTTATGATTCTATGAAGTTTGAGGTTTTCTGAATTAAACACTTAACAATTATCCTTAGATGAAATCCAATGGATGATCTATCGAAAAAAAAGGAGCTCCTTCGGGGTGGCCCAGTGGTTTGGTCTTGGGACTTCCATGTTGGAGGTCTCAAGTTCGAATGCAGGGTTTGCCTTCTGGGTCGAGCTCGTCGCACCAGGCTTGCCTGGTGCAGGTTACCTCTGTTGTGTGGGCGGGTTACCTCTGTTGTGTGGTTTGCAAACTATTGCATAGGAGCAGTCTACTGTAACTGCAAATACTTTCTATTTCTTATGTAGAAAAATTTAGTTAAGACTTGGGGAATATGTATTATTGGCATCTATGTAACCCCACCCAGGGATTTGGACTAGTGGTAAGAGTGTAACACGGAATGTGTGGGTTTGGTGTATGTCAGGGGTTCAAACCTTGCCACAGAAAAAACCATGGTACTTTACGTGGAGAAGGATAGAGGGGTAGGCACATTGCTCACGGAGTTTCGAATCACGTGTTACTGAGCCTCGGGAACTATTCAGTCATAAATAAAACGATGGGCGCTTAGTATGTATTGTTTGTGACTTACTGCTGTATCATAAACAGATTCTCAGTTTGAAAATATGACATATTGCCTGCACATTAAGCTTATCAATTCCCAGTACCGTGCTTTCGTATAGTTTTTGTTATTCTGGCCAAAGCTTAATGTTTTTGACTTCCTGACAGAAAATGTCTGCATATGATAATGTGGTTGGCGGGAAGTTGAAACTAAAGGGAAAGGCATTGGATGTAAAAGCCGCTGGAATTAAGAAAAAGAAAAAGAAGGAAAAGAAGGATTATGATCAAATCTCCCAGGTTACAGAAAACGAGCTTTCAACTGGTGAGTAGTGATATCTTGAAGTGCATAAATTTTATGCTTTTATTATTACTGTTCCTATTTTGTTGATTCCTTCCAAGTTCCACCCTCCCTCTGCATTCAAGTTGTAGTACAATGAAAACGATAGATGAATCCATAATGGATTGAACAGTTTATTGTTGTGATTCAAACTGATGGTCTTAAAATCCCAATTTTCATTCATCTAATGGAACTATGCTCATGCATGTTAGTTTTTAACGATATGATCAGTAGGGCTAAAAGTTATGATTTAACAAATGTTCTCAAGATTGAGCCTTCTTCGACATTGAGTAACTGCAGCTTTTGACACATTCTATCAGCTTGAATTTCATTTAGTGGCTATTTGTCGTTCTCATAGTTTCCAAACAGTATTGGATGAGTAACCAAGGCGTATTCCACTTTCAGCCTAAGATAAAAGAGCAAAAACATTTGAATCTTATGTGCTTGTGAGAGACTATATGTCGTTTTTCTTGTTTAGCCGCTTCACTAAAATGTTTCTTACTGGATGTAGATGGTGGTAGTGGATCCATAGATAATTCCACCAAGGAAGAGACCACAGATGCAACTAAATCTGTTGGTGAAGAAAATGCTGGTCGCTGGGATGATAATTTAACCCCTGCAGAGAGGCGCTACATAGAACAAAGAGAGAGGATCGACATGCATAAGATGGCCAAGACTGCTAACAAATCACATCGTGACCGAATTGAAGATTTCAATCAGTACTTGGCAAACATGAGTGAGCACTATGACATTCCCAAAGTTGGCCCTGGCTAATTAAGAACACATCAGAATTTTTCTGCTGCATCTCTGTATCTCATATACGGAAGCATCTTTAGTAGCTACTATTTCGATTTTCGTATTCTGTAATTTAGCAGTTTCCTTGGATCGACGGGCTCTGCATGGTCATCTTCTTTCTGAGGCTGAACCTCGCTATGATGTTTTTCTAATGGATGTAAATTTTCAGATTGTATGTACTTAAATTGAAAGTTTTTTACCAATTTCTATCAAGTGAAAACACTTCAGAAGGTGGAGAATTTTCCTCAAATGCATGATTTTGTTTACTTTATCCTTCTCAGACCCCACTCGTGGGTTATACTGTGTATGTCGTTTACCTGTCTTTGTTTCTATTAATTATGTCTTCAGTGTTTCTATCCTACTTATGAAGATTATGAAGAAATATTCATGAAGTGTGGTAGATTTTTATTTTTTGTGAGAGTTGTATCATTTGCGTTTGATAGTGTAACTTTTTTATATACTATAAAGTTAAGGTTGATTACTTGAAAAATAGAGTAATGACCTTCTATTACCAATTAAATTGTAGTAATAGTGAAAAGATTATGTATCCTGTTAGCATATATAACTTGATCTACACATCAATGAATTCGAGTCATGGAATGAGCCACTAATAAACTGTCTACCTCTTAAGTGTAACCTTTTCGATTCATAATGTGAAACATTTTGTGCCCTAATCGTCACTCCTATTACTTAGCAATTAAATAAATCAAGGCATATTACATGGGTGGTGGGATCTCATTGTCCCACATTCAATTAGAGTAGAAATTTCCCATATTTGTAATAGATGAGTCATTCTTGAATGTGACATGTCTTCTCTAAGAAAGAAAAATAGAGTTTTTCTTAAGAGAAAAGAAAAGGGGTTTAGTAAGGGAAACAATTCCTATATATAGTCAAGGGTTGGAAAGTTCTTTTGTATGCATATAATTCAAACAAACGCGTAAGTGGTTCATTCTCTTTTATTTTCACTCGATGTCTGGTATTTGTATTGACTAATTCAGATTAGCAATCGAATAAGACCCATTAAAGGAGAAATCATTTCCTATCAAGATTGTTTCCGTATCTAAAACTCAAACTCGAGACCTCTGCTTAGGAGGGGAGAAATCATATTCATCCCAACATAGTGGATGGTTCATCTTGTTAATGTCTCAAAAATAAGTATAATTTCATAATCTTATGCTTTTTATAGTTTATAATGTGTGACACTTTTCAAACGTATAAATTTAATACTATTTAATCTTTCAATTTCAACTATACAGCGTCATGTGATATTGAGGTTTCAACAACCTAGAGGTTGCAATTCCATTTTTAAAATTTAAACTTTTATACTACTTGGACAAAATTTGTATAGTTACATAATTTTAGAAAATTTGTACAACTATATTGTATAGATGTCAAATCAAAATATGACATATCACCAACTTCTTAGAAATTATTAGAGGAGAAAAGAGAAAAATGACCCCCCCCCCCCCACCCCCAACAACCCCACAAATGCACACACACAAACATCTCTCTCAAAATGCACTAGTTGATATTACAAGACCAAATTAAAAGGTCCCATATAGTGTACTCATATTCCTCTTACAAAAAGGCAATGAGAAGAAGGCAAGAAATCTCATCTTCAACTTCCAAGAAATCACAAGATGAGAAACAAATAATGAAAAAGTTGTACACTATTATAACATAGGAAATTAAGCAACTTATATAGAGGTTTAGTCGAACTCAGTACTTTTGATTCAAAAACATTTATTTGTATTTATAAATTCAGTATATATATATATATATATATATATATATATATATATTATGAATTTAGAATCCAATAACTTTACATAACTAGAATCTTGAACTCGTAAAGTTCATAATCATGATTATTAGAGAAAGGAGAAAAACAATTCCACTCGCGAATTATAATTGAAGTTGACAACTTTACTTATTCTTCGAAATTCCATAACATATGAAAATCGTGAAGTGCATATAAGTTATATAGGAGCGACTTTCTTGTGATAAACTAGTAATTGCAAATGAACAAGTAGGGGATGAAAAAAAAGAGTAGGGGGGCTTATTTTACTATACACTTAACCTAAAAACACAAGAAAACCTCCAAAAACTAATCAAAATACAAAATAATTAAAAAAGCAACCACTTAGTGAAAGATCTTGTAGATCTATTAACAGGACATTATAAGATTCAACTACCATGAAATATCCATAAAAACTATCTCAACTTGTTTAGAACAATATTATACGCGAAAAATAACTAAAATTTGAACTTATAATTTCAAAATATACAAATACATTTTGTACTAAAAATCTTAAATATTAAACCCATGAACAAATAAAGCACGTAACTTATTAGTTCAAATTGCTCGAAACTTGTATATGTATTAAAAAAAAGTAAAATAAAATAATAGATCTCAAATCGTATAAATCAAATTCCTCATGTTAGAGCCTTTGAATCCATCCAATTTAAATTCTAAATCCGTCTCTGAATCATTTTGCTTCTTCGTTTCTTCAATCTTCATCATCACCACCAAAGAACGAAATTGGATTATACAGAAGAAACAGAACAAGGAGAAGAACAAGAGCAACACCAACAGGGGAACCACTAGCACGATGAATAGAATTTGGCTCACCACTCGAAAAAATACTCGAAACAAAAGAGGCACTATCAGATGAGAGAAATTGAATTGTGAGAAGTAAAATTATAGGCAAAAGTAGTAATCCAATTGGGGTAAGAAGTTCAGAGATGAATTCAGTGATTGCTTCGCCATTTTCACCGATTAATGACGGAACAATCATCACTGCTATCACCACCACCGCTAATAAGGCCGCGTGTGGTGGACCGCGGCGTTGATCGTCGATCATGTTCATGTTGACGGAAATGCGAGTGAATTTGAAGAGGAGTTTGTTTGCTGCTCTGTTATTTTTTGGTTTGGTGAAGAGGGAAATGAGTAGATGTGTGGAACTTTTTGGTCTTATAACATTTTATTATTGAGTTACGCGTTTTAGTGTGTGGAGGTAGGGTGGTGGTGGGTAAGGCTCGAGTGTATTTTAAAGATATATATGTGCCTACGCGGACATCATAAATATTGCATAATATATACCTTTAAAATACACTATTAAATAATGCAGGGGTAAAAGGTCCTCCATAAAATTTGGTATCGTAACAACAATTTCGGTCAATATTGGAGTATTTTTCAGACCATTTTCCCTTTATGTACCAACAGTTTACTGATCGAATAGAGACGGGGTGGGGGCTAAAACTAAGACTCTGTTCGTGAACGTAATGATATAAGTTTGCCTAACTGTAAGACCAATTGATCGAACAGAAACAGAGTGAAAGTGGGGGATCAAGCTAATATTCTGTTCGTGAACGTAACAAAGATCGAAAGGGCTCAAGATTTTAATCACGAGTGTAATGAAGCAAAAACAAAGAAATAACAACTAGTCCTTTTCAACACTTTCAACTAATTTGAAAAAAATAAACACAAATGACATCAGACGCATTTAATTACTTTATTTAAAGTCATTGAAAGATACAATTTGTAGAATTTTCTTTTCTTTACATTTCTAAATGCCTGTATATTTGTCCCACTCTATGTGATAAAGTCAAATGAAACAATTTAAACATTGATAGGTTATTATTTTAAATTAAAAAAAAAAATAGAATACTAGCCTAACATAGAGTCTCCACTCTGGAAAATATTGTCTTACTTACACACTAGGGTTAAGAATTTTAATTTTTGTAAGTTACTTAAAAGGATCTAAAATTTCTTTAATTCATAATAATTGGAATAGGATCCGTATATATTTATTTTATTTATCAAATTATATTAAATATGTTGTTATACTTAAAGACCCTCGTTTTTTTTTTCATTCAGGATTGATTTCTCAAATGACTATGCAACTAAAAAGTAAAAACTATTATTTAAAGTGTGACTTTCTTCTTAATTTCAATTTTTCTTCAACAAAATAAATGATTTTCTAGAATTATAACTATTAATTTAGTAACTGAGAAATTAACTTCTCCCAGAAGAATCATGACATCAACAGTGTCATTAACGAGGGGCTTAGGAAAAATCACATTCCTATTAGAATATACCACCATCTCTAAATAATAACAAGTTTTGGTGTCAAACACAAGACTCGAAAGATATCAATCTTTCTATATAAAAATAATGCGTTAATTTGTACATATCCCAAGTAATTTTATGAAGTATTGATAAAAATACATAATTGTGACGAAACAAAACAAGTATGCATGTAGTTTAGTTGTATTAAAGTCGAAGTCTTTCCTAAGGGACATTTTATCTGAAACAATAAAAGAAAGAGTATATATCACAAATCGAATTAATCAAGATAAAAAATGAATATCGATCACCGAATAAAAAATAAAAAAAGCTTAGTTGTGTTAACATACATAGCAAACGGCAAATAACAACAATATACTCAATGTAAACCCACAAGTGAAGTTAAAAGATGATGGTGTATACCAACAACAATACCCAATGAAATTTCACTAAATAGGGCCTGAAGAAAGCATCGTATACGCAGACCTTACCACTATCTCATGGAGATTAAAAAAACTCATTATCATATGAATTTTTCGTACGCAATCTTATTATGCATTTATTTGAATGGAAAAGAAGAAAGACAGTGGTGGGAACTGTAGCATAGTCAAAAACAAGTGGACAGTCACTAATAATTGTTAAGGAGACAATTAGTATGAAATTTTCAATATTTCTGACAGGTCTCAAGATTCGAATTTCGAAAGTTAATTTCATCAGATCTGTAGACGACACAACCATGTGACAACTAAATTAGAAAATTTGATTTCAGATCCCAATTGAATCAACCTAACAAAATTACTTTAGAATAATAAATCAAAAGAATACAATAATTAACCCCACATTTCTCTTATTTATTCAAGGCCATGATTCGTCCGACCTTTATTTAGCGTGACGATAATATAAATTAAACTTAAATAAAACAACAAGAATTCATATAATCAGTTTCAGCTTGATTGGCATGTAAGGTAATTGTTGACGTTAGTACATCTACATTTGTAAAGAGGTCGAGTGTTGACACCTCTTTTCGTATTTACTATATGACACGATTCGAATCAACGCCTCTCATGTTAAACTATACAACAAGAACATAGTAGAGTTTATACAGACCCTACGCCTACACCCCTTACCCAAGGGAGGTAGAGAGACTATTTCATAAGACACTCAGCTCAAGTGCAACAACAAATTGGAGCATTTGTTTGACTATAAAAATTTCTCATTTAGAGTAAAATGGAAGTATAAAGTTTGATTGTTTTCAAAATGTTTTCAACGGAAATAGTGTCATATAAATCGGAATGGAGGGAATAGGATCTAAGATACTGCACAGATCATAGGGTAATAAAGTGCATGTAGTGGATACAAACCTGGAGAGGCATTGACTAGCTTCTGAAACAACTGAGTAAATCAGGAACTTCTGGAAAGTTTCGCGTGCGTATTTCACTCACCATACAGTTTAACAGTCTGAAATATGCATACGACTAGCTATAGTATACAAGATTACAAGGTATCTATCTCGGAAGCAAAGTATTATAAAGCACTGGAAAATATGTTAAAAGCTTATTTCATCATATTTGCATTCCTTTCAGTTCCTGCAACTAACCAGCTGTATTAGCAGGTTATGGAAGCGATTAATAGATGGGAGTACCGAGCACTGCAAAAATAACAATACTGCGAAAGGGGAAGTGTAAATAAGGTGTCAGCAGCCTCGATTCTTTCTTGGTCATTAAGATGGGTGTTGGAAAGTGAACAGACATCCATAACAATACGAGAACGATGGTAGGTCAAAACTTGTGGAAACAAAGCTTCATTACTTGCCTTATCTGCCAAACCAAGCCTTTTCTTGGCAGACAAAAATGTTCAACTAGCACCTGAAAGCTTCATCCCATCTATAGTCAACAAACCTGCAAGATCAATAGAGCAAAAAGTAGCAAAATTACTGGCAGTCCCCATTAACATTTGAGCATTAGGGTAATAATATGTAGAACGGATATGTTTATATGAATATATATCATGCCTTGACTTCGGATTTGCACACGATAATAATTGAGCTGCAATTCTATCTATTCAGAGCCTGCTAATAAGTATTGGGGAAAATCTTTACGCTATTGCATCAATACCTTGAATAGAGAAATCACAACATTTTAGGCTAATTTTTGCACTATAAGAATTTGAAATAACTTGGAAGTGGGAAGGGTCTCTCTGTACATATTCGTGTACACTAGCAGATGTCATTCAGATGTGCATAAAATACAAGATGGTGCAGCATTTGCTCCAAAAATTGCACATAGCAAGAAGCTAAGCCTCAGGAAAAAAATTATCAAGGACATCAAATCAACAAAGTCATCACTATATAAAAAGAGAATTGCCAACAAACTAATCTGCGTAGTTTGATAATATGCATCAAGAAGACCTGAAATACAGATAAAATATACGGAAACAATCATAGTTAGGAAAATAAGATCCTACAGTTATAAGCAATACAAACAAATTTTTTAACATTCCAGATACAGCTGTAAAAAGATTCTATTAAACTAGGCTTCAGTCAGTCATCTTTCAGGCATTCAGGATCAAGGATAAAGAGCGACGAGTTTCAAAAAGAAGCTGCATTGCCCAGGCCCAGAATATAATCCAGCCCACTGACGTCAACCTATCCTTCCACCATGTCTTCCACTTAGAAAACAAAAGGGCTCAAGAACTAAAGATAGACTTATGTTTCCCCAGCCCTACTCCACAGATGAGCTAGAACAAATCTTTTATGGGAAAAAAGGATAAGGAAAAAGAAAGCATTCAATTAAGGGAAAAAATGAAAAAAAATTTATGCCCCTTTTTAAGCACTACCACCATCAACGTGAAGAACTGTGTTGTCAGCACAGTAAATTCCTTAATACCGCACCTTAAAATTATCATGACAGATAAAATAGGATACTAGAGAATGAGTGTCGATATAAAGCTTCAAGCAGATCAGAGAAAATATTGTATTAGCAAGAACTCAAACATGATAAGAAGACTCCAAATTATAATATTTTTCAGAGAAAGTCTATGTTAAGAAAAATGTTGGGTTGCTATGGATTGTTCATTCACAAAAGGACATAACTCATGTCTCATACCATCTATATCACCTATCTTCACAGGGAGATAAGGTAGGTGGTTAAAACTTGAAATAGTGCAAACACAGAAAACAAAATGAATTTATGCCTCAAACCCAAAATGGGACCAACCAAATACATACATCATAACTGTCAACCCAGCAAACAATCCATATCATTGTATTGCTCCAAAGAGATACATGAGGTAGTTGAAGGAGAGCAACCACATAAAATAAATAAGTTACTTTATGCTTAACTCACGATTGATCCTTACACTTATACATGGTAAAGTTGACATCCACCATACACATGTAAGTTTAAGGGGAGAAAATGGAAATGACATACAATAACTCTTGAAAGAAAATGATATGGCAAACAACAACTATTACGGCTTAGTCCAAATAAGTAAAGGAGGAGAATGATATGTAAACAAAAAAAAGATAGTCAAGTTCATATTCCCCCGTTCCCTTCACTCTCCCCACAGAATGAATTTCTAAAAATCATGACATGCCTTAAAAATATGAATGGTCAAAATTATCACTTTCATATGGGAGTCCGGAATACATAAAGGTTATCTCATGTTGTAAGACCTCAAAAACCCTCAAACATTTTGAAGAGTACTAAGATTTGCTTAAAAATTAGCAATGCTAGATGAAAAGTACTTCAGTGGTAGGTCTGAGCTAGGGCCAGTGACTGAGACAGGAGCTTCGGGTGGGCGAGGACCGATGACAGCTATGTTGCATCGACTTTTATATTTTAGAGTGGAAGGAAAGTTTAT